TGTGAAATTCTAACGAAGATTTAAAGGGAGAAAAAAAATCTTGATTAGCCTTCCCCAATTTGTGAAAGAAGCTGACTGTAAAAGCTCTTGATAGCCTATGTAGTAGAAATTAATAGTTCATTTCAGGGCACAAAAGGGCAGCCTTCTGGTGAGTTTAGAAGCTTCTGTTTAATTTTAATTTTTATCCTGTTTTCTTTCCCTTGCTCTTGATAGCCTATGTAGTAGAAATTAATAGTTCATTTAAGGGCACAAAAGGGCAGCCTTCTGGTGAGTTTAGAAGCTTCTGTTTAATTTAATTTTTATCCTGTTTTCTTTCCCTTAAAAAAAAGGGGGGGGGGGGGGAAAAAATTGGCTCTGGGAATTTGGAGGGGGGGGGGGGATAACAATTGCTGCTGCTCTGAGAACCAGACTTTATTTTCAGTTGTAAGATCAGCTGAGGTTACTTTTGCTAGTTCTGTTTGATAGGCTGGTGATTTTAGATTAGAGATATAGACACTTTTATTAATTAGGCTTTATAGAGCTTTGACAGACTATATTGAATATTTTGAACTTTAATAGGCAGCTTCACAGTTAACACAACTGTGATCTATTTTGCTTTACTATTTTTGGGTTTTAGGTGTTAGACATCAAGTTCAGTTTGAAGAGAAGAAAACCAAATTAAAGATATTTTTGGTACCTGCTACTGTTTACTGTTATTAAATGAGAGGCACTTTAGTTTGAGATCAACACCATTTCTTTGTTTGCATGTTATTTATGGATGGTTTGCTAGGAAAATCACAGTTCGGTTGATTTGTGGTGATGAGTGTTTTTCTGGAACGCAATATTATTTTCATTCAAAGTGGTTAACCCTGACGTGACCCATTTCCTAACTTCCATTGTACCACTAGTAATGGGGCATCTTTGAAAACATAATTGATTTATAAATAAACTGAACTGCACAGTTAAGATTAAATGCTATTATGTGCAATAAGATGTTCAGGCTTAGAAAACATGCGAGGTCTTAATGGAGTGCTGTTAGGATGGGTTAGCGCTGGCCTGCTGCTCTTCTCTTCCACCCACAGTTTTCTTCCTTAAGATATTTCAGTGGTGTTCTAGTATTATTTAAACCCCTCCAAATGTTTTTCTCCTCTAGACTGACTATCTTACATGCACAACAAGAAGGGAAAAATTTGTAAGGAAATTACATGATTTTAAGCTTTCTGGTGGAAAGATGGTAGTTGACATTATGGCAAGATGCATGTAAAAAATTGTCAGACATTTACTTTGTTCTCTTTAAAATTCATGTTTTGTTTCTTTTTTCCTTTTGGCAACTGCAATTTTACTTTTAATACCTGCTTTAGTACAGCACACATTTTTTTAATTGTTTTTAGGAATCCAGTTCCTTTGATATTAAGCCCTGAAATGGGAATTTATACTTCTGCTATGACTCATTTCACTGACTTTTTGGTCTTTGCAACAGACTTCAAGATCTTCCTTATTTGTAATTTATTCTTTAAAAACTCCCAGGTCTATTTCAGAAGTTACCTTTTCTATACTCTCTCTCATACAAATAAGGGGGAATTTACAGTGTTACTTCTTTGAGGTTGCTGTATATGGTCTTGAGCTGTTCTGGAGGAAGACTCCCTAAACTGTAGAATAAGCGACCTATTTCCTCGCTTTTTAGACGCCTACCTGATTCTGTGTTTGCCTGGGACTCTGACATATTAACTGCTGTGTATTTCCATCCTTTACCATTTTTATCTTTTTAACTGCATAACAGAATTTCTGGGGTTTGTAGGGCCTGATTTAAGAGCACAATCTCTCTCCAGTGCTTCTCGAGTGTTTCCCGATGAGTACCGTCAGCTGTAACTCTGCCTGAACGTGGCATTTGGTCTTGACGTATACACCTCAATACCGAGCAATTACTTTGGAGCTGGTGGCCAATGTTCCAGGCTGGCAGTTTTCATTCTTCCCGTTGCGCTTGAGCTACTTGTTAGGCTGACTGTGGAGATTTTTATTGCACAAGTATTAAAAGGCTTAGCCAGAGTGGAGAGAGGCAGGCAGCAGTTACTAGAGCTGTTTTCTAAATTATTTATTTGGCTAAAAAGTGAAATCTGATCTTGCTTGCCTGACCTGCCAGGAGGTAATAGCATTCGGTTTCTTTTTTTAACTGTGTGAAAAAGAAATAAAAGTTTAAATTATATTCTTTAGGTTATTCATTTACACAGAGGAAGTTGTTAGTTACGACCAGAACTGGTAGAAGAATAGCATTTGTGTTGTGTTTCTAACAGGTCCTAACAGAAGGGAGGCGTTTAAGTGTGTGGACCATTAACCCAACTCCTAAAATCTAGTGGGAATAAACATTTTGATTTACGTGCACTGATCTCTTTCACAAGTTCTTTTATAATGAGTGTTATTTAAGCACTTTATTTCATAAAAAAATCGTTCTTCAGGCAGCAGCGTGGAGACATTCTTCTTAGTTCTGGTTTGCACTAACCGTGTCCAATTGCTATTTTCATGTCAGCTCCAGTATTGAAATCCACAGTTGTTCCCTTTTCTCTCACAAATGCTCAAAAGGCATATTACGCTTCAGAAATTGCAGCTTATAGCATTTTCTAATTGCTTTCAAAGCCATTGAGTTATGGGAGCATATTAAGCAACCGGCACTTAAAAGCTGGTGATCTCTTACATAAAAATATTAGCCCAAATATTTTTATATGTATGCTTTTCAGCACATCCAGTTTTATGGCCGATTTTAGACCCTGTGGTAAACAAGCATGCTAATGGAGCTGTTGGAAGCCCCTTTATAAAGGAATCACAGTACTGTATATGCTGTGGGTGACATTCAGCTTTGATTCAATGCTGTAATAAAGCCTGCATCTGTGTTGTTATTTTCAAAAGGAAATTCAGAAGGGAACACTGAATACAACTCTGCTTTTGGTTTATCTTTTGATCTTTTTCCATCTCAACATGTGTCTCCAGTGTTTCTAGATGGAGCGTTTGGGATTTTTAACTAGGGCTTATTTAAGAAATTTGCTGCCAGTGACAAGGTAGGAGGCAGAACGCACAGAAGTGCGGATCGTACCCAGCATGATTCTTGCCAACACCAGCTCTCCCTTTCCCTCTCACTCCTGCTTTCTCCTGACACCTTCACTGGCCTGTTTGGCCATAGCACAGCAGGTCTTGGACAAAGATAGAAGTTCTGGTAAGGTGCACATTTGTCATCACCTTTTCTTTCCTTTCTTCTCCTTCTCTCCATCCTTTCTCTGCACTGTGCTTTTCACTCTCAGACACACTGTATTTTTGTAGAGGTCTTTGTCACCCAGTCATTCTTGCTGATAAAAAGTTGCCAGCTTTCCTGGTCTTTGCAGAGTGGATGAAAATTGGTTGATGGTGCAAAATAGTAAACCCAGGACGTGATCTTGTGCTCTGGAATGAGCCATTTCAGCAGATTTTACCGAGGCGAGCAAGTAGGTGTGTGGGAAGGAGATGGGGAAAGTCAGCATGCACAGCTCGGTGTTGTGTTATTGCCACAGGACCTTGGGTCTCTTCTCAGTGAGTTGAATTTTCCCCTCTCTGGAGCAGCGTTGCAGGTTTTGTCAATATTCCTTCTGTTAAGAATAACAGAAGCATTTCTGCCAGTAAAATCTTGAGTATACACAAGAAAGTTGTGATCATTGTACGTTGTGGGATCTGAAAAAGACTTTGTCTGAAAGCTTGTCCTTTTCCCTTCTCTTGCTTCCTTTTAAATCAGTAGTTCAGATCAAAGATTGCTCTCTCCTTCCCTTGCCCTCTTTCTCAAAACCTGTCCCACTCTCATCCTCAGACTTACCACTCTTCAGCCATGCTACACTTGGATGAGTGTGCTTCTAACGAGAGTCAGAATCACCCAGACCTGCAGGGAGCAGAGTCCCTGACTTAGTTAAGTGATCAGATCTGTGTGAATGCTCACGCATTAACCATTGCAGTGCTGAATTCTTTAAATACTAGTCTTGAAGCTTGCCTTTTCCTATGAATTTTGGGGATAAGCAACACATTGCTAGGAACAGTTACAGCCCTTATAGTTTATGTGGGGTTAAAAGCCTTTTCAACCAGGATTGTAGGTAAGACAGAGATAAGAGGTTTGGTCGAAGTTCCTTCCTTGCAGGGCTTTTGAAGTAGGTGTCGCAAGGCTGCCCTTTAACACTGGACTGTTTGCTTTTCGTTGTGAGTGGAGGTGGGGAAGCTGGTACAGTAAACTTAGTCTGGCTCTTTCTGCTCTGTATATGAAAAGAAAATTCAGAAGGGGAATCAGGCAAAATATTTTGGACAAAAACTAATGATTCAGTACGCTCCCTCGGCGTGTGTAAGGTCCTCTCTTTGTTTACAGACTGGCAAAAGTTCTCTAGATCCTGCAAGAATCAAATAACGAAAGGAGTCTTCCAGCCTCCACCCTAATGCAGTTGTTAGGTGTTTCTGATCACAGGATTCTTGATGCAGAAGTCTAAAATGATGTAGGCTGCTTTTCAGATCCTAGTTTGAAGGGCTGGTCCTTTGGGGCTAGGGATGGGAGAAAGGGGATCTTTAAGGCTCCAGCCTCAGTTTTGAAAGTATATGCAGGGATGTACAAAGTTTGATCTATGAGCTGCATTACAACTCCGTCGGCATTGTAATTTGGTGAATTCAAGTATTACTGGAGTTAACATGTAGCAGTTTATATTCTGCCTAGGTGTGTGGGGAAAGAAAAGAACGGGTTTTATTGCTCATCAGCGATACTTGCCTGTGCTAGAAGTTGTCCTCATTTCTTAGAATCTGTTCCTAGCTGGCAATTTCAGGCGCCGAGAAGGCGAAGCCGAGCATGTTTTGATTTGTGCTTTATTTAAGGCATACTGTGTTCAATGAACAGTACAGAGTTGTATAATTGAATCTCATTTTAAGTATATGATTCCATTTTTTGTTGTCAAAACTTTTGTCTTATGCGATCTACCAACCCCCACCCTGTAACACACACAGCCCAGTCACTCTGTTGTAATATTCTTCGTTTTCAGGTGAACAATCAGAATAATGTTCAACATAAACCTGTTGGAGAACCTGAAGGTTTACATCAGCAGTCGACCTCCGCTTGTGGTCTTTATGATCAGTGTAAGCACTATGGCAATAGCTTTTCTGACTCTGGGTTATTTCTTCAAAATCAAGGAGATCAAGTCACCAGAAATGACAGAGGTAGGTGCAAAAAGTTCCTGAGCTGAACAGTGGGAATACTAATTTGAAAAACATGCCCAAAGTTAATGAGTTCCAACCCGCCCCCCTCAAGAACCCTCTGATGGGAGTGTGTAGTGTCTTATGGGAGATTGTCTTCATTTATACTTGCCTCTAATTTCATAAGGAAAGAGGCTATTGGTATGAATGTTTGAATAGTCTTGTTCTAGTTTGAGGATGAGGCCGAATCATCTGACATGCATCTTCCCTACTATGGCTAGGAGCCTTTTTCTTACTCTGTTGTGCCAGCTAGCTTGTTTGTGAAACTTCTGATCTTATCTAGTAGTACTATTCTGTAATGAGGGAAACATTGCTAGAAACTGCTCCGTATCCTGAGCATGGTGAGAACAGACCAAGTTAGTATGTTCCTTTTGTAGTTTAAAGGAGGATATTCTGCCGCAGCGCTGAGCAGTGGTCAGGTGGTGGCTGGGATTGAACACATCTAACTTTTGTAAACAACTTGCCCCGTTGTTGAGATAGCCATGGTGGTATTTGTGCTTGCTTTGTGAGCCATGTAATTTTTGTTAAATGGCTTGGAACTGCAGGCGGGATGGTACGTGTCAAGGTCTGCACTGCTCTAGAGAAGTGGCAGCCAGGAGTTAACTTGCTACTCTGGTTGAAATCTTCACATTTCTTTTAAGGACTGGAATACCTTCCTCCTGAGGTTTAATGATTTGGACTTCTGTATATCTGAGAATGAAACCTTAAAGCATCTCATCAATGATACTACAACTCCAGAAAGTACCGTGACTAGCGGACAGGCGAGATCTTCTACACAGTCTCCACAAACTCTTGAGGACTCTGGTCCAATAAACATCTCTGTTACAATCACGTTGACGCTGGACCCACTTCGACCATTTGGCGGGTATTCTCGCAATGTCACACATCTAAGTTCCACAATTTTTGGACACCAAATTGGACTCTCAGGTATGCAAGACTTGACCTTTATAAATTTGAGTGATAACTATATAATCAAATAAAAACTCACCAGCTTATTATTAGTGAGATAAATCTTTTGCTTAGAACGTATATGTGTTTCCAGATTTGTTCTGAGTATATTGCTTTGTAGAGCCCTTCATTTGTTTGCTAGAAAGACTTTTCCTTGCATTCAGAATGGAAAAGAACCTGCAGGTTTACCAAGATTAGGCTTTGCAGTTTGTCGTGGTTTAACCCCAGTCGGCAACTAAGCACCACACAGCTGCTTGCTCACCCTCCCCCCCCGTGCCCGGTGGGATGGGGGAGAGAATTGGAAGAGCAAAAGTAAGAAGACTGGTGGGTTGAGATGAGAACGGTTTAATACTCGAAATAATAAAATAATAATAATAACAACAACAACAATAATAAATTGTACTGGAAAGTAAAAAAACGAGAGAGAGAGAGAGAGGAACAAAACCCAGGGAGGAGGAAAAAAAACAAAAACAAACAAGAGGTGATGCAACTGCTCACTGCCCACCAACCAACGCCCGGTCAGTTCCTGAGCAGCAATCGCTGCCCCCCAGCCAACTCCCCCCAGTTTCTGTACTGAGCATGACGTCCCATGGTATGGAATGTCCCTCTGGCCAGTTTGGGTCAGCTGTCCCGGCTGTGCCCCCTCCCAGCTTCTTGTGCACCTCCTCGCTGGCAGAGCATGGGAAGCTGAAAAGTCCTTGACTTAGGATAAACACTGCTTAGCAACAACTAAAACATCAGTGTGTTATCACGTTATTCTCATGCTAAATCCAAAACACAGCACTGTACCAGCTACTAGGAAGAAAATTAACTCTATCCCAGCCAAAACCAGGACACAGTTTTAAATGACTAACCTAATGACAATGGAAGGTAATTTTTAAGCCAACAAAATTCTGAGCAGCGAAAGCTTCTACAGTGAAACTTCAGTTCTGTCTTGATACATCTTCTAGTCCTTAACTCACATTTTGAAGGCATTACTGTATATACATCAGAGATCAAGTAGCATTTTGTCTAAAAAATACAGTTTATTTAAAATGCATACATGAATAAACTTTAATATCGCAAACAGCAACCAATACGATGGTTAAAATTTCTGTGGTGTGAAGAGACTGATCTCTTATGTGGCTGCCCTGACAGTAAGTTTTGACAGCAGATTATAGAGAATTAGTAGAAATGGATAATAGAACCTCACTGAATTTTAGCTTTTAGCCAGGGTTGCATTTTATAATAATGCCTGAAGGTGTCTTGAACCTCAGAGACCTGTGAAGAGACATTTGCCATAGCTGTAAATCTGTATTACAGTATTTTATGTTGTTATTTTGTTACTGCTCTAAGAGCTATCAAATGCAAGTTCCATTTCCAGTAGCCTGGATTTATTTTCAGTATGAATATATTCACATGGAGTTAACGTACACTACTTAATCTGCAGTTCAGTATCTGCTGGCACCTTTTTGTCTACACGAATGTCTCCAATTTGAAAAGTAAGAGTCAGAAAAAGCAAATGTGGAACAAAGTCTTTGGGAGGAGAAAGGCTAAAGATCTGTGCTTTTACTATCTAATAAAGTTCTCTGACCATGCGTGAATTCACTTACAAACAGTGAGTTTTTCATTTCTGAAAGGAGCCTAATGACCCCACTTCTTCTGGGGGCAGGAGAGATTAGAAAGACCATCAGCTGGGGTTTTTGTGGTTTGGTTTGGTTTGTTTTAACTTTACTTCTTCTGGGGGCAGGAGAGATTAGAAAGACCATCAGCTGGGGTTTTTGTGGTTTGGTTTGGTTTGTTTTTTAACTTTCCTTTTGCTCTCTGTTGATAGTAAAGATCCTGGATGACTTCAAAGGTGCAGATTCAGGGTGATGGTTGCTGCCTTAGTTGTTTGCATGTTATCCTTATCCTAGCGATTGTTGCTCAGATACTTTTGTGAATGAAACCAAGCTTTCCTTCTCTCTTTCTCAAAGGCAGAGAATCCCATGAGGAGATAAATATTACATTCACCCTGCCGGCTGCCTGGAATTCAGATGACTGCGTTCTTCATGGCCACTGCGAGCAGGTTGTGTTCACAACCTGCATGACTGTGACAGCAGCCAGCAATGTATTTCCTGTCACAGTGTAAGTGCATTTTAAACACTCCTTCATAGACTGGTTACTACGTGATTAATTCCTGAGCTGGTTCTCTGAGGTTATTACTTCCTGATGAACATTATTGTTGACTGTGGAAATTATGTACCTGCCGTCCTTCCCCCACAGTAAAATCCCTGTCTTGAGACTTTTGCTGTCTTTTAGCAACATAGATTTTTCTGTGGATGTTCTGAACTATAGCCCCTACCTGCCTTTCAACATGCTACCTGTGATTTAAACTTCGCTAGGAACAGAAGAATCCATGAATATTTAAGAAAGATACCCTATAATTTAGTTTCATTACCTTGTGTGAGAGTTAAGGCTTGACACTAAGGTTCTTATCCTCTTCCCTGCTGAGAGATCAGCGTAAGCCAAATGCTGGTTTGCTACCATACCCCAGCGGGTACAGACTTTTCATCAAAATAGTTTCCCTTTGTCTCCCTGACACTGTTCAGTATACCCTGGAGAACTACCAGATAGATCCACATGACTGTGTGAAGCCTTACGAAAACCAGTGTTTTTCTAACTGAGCTGTGGGATGTTGACTTACTGCAACAACACGCAGTTAAATTCTAATCTTAGTGTAGGAATCATATGGTTTTTTACACACCCTTTTGGTTAAGCTTTGTTTTTTGTTGTTTTGGAAGGTCCGAAATACAACTGTGTTTTATGCTGCTGTTGAGAAGACTCGGCTTGATTCAGTTCTAAAAGTTAGCCTTACTGAACATGGAGAATGGCAATTGGGGTGCTAATTATTTCTGTTTTTCTGCAGTCAGCCACCACATTGTGTTCCTGAAACGTACAGCAATGCTACGCTTTGGTACAAGATCTTTACCACAGCAAGGGACTCTAATACAAAATATGCACAAGATTATAACCCTTTCTGGTGTTACAAAGGAGCAATCGGAAAAGTGTATCATGCTTTAAATCCCAAACTAACTGTTATAGTTCCAGATGTAAGTGCCGTCGTGTTTTTATATGTTGAATAAATGCTTAGCTCTTGTTTAATTGATTATGGTTCTGATCATGTCCTAAAATAGTCATATTCAGTGCTGGTTTATTATGTAGTGCAAGGGCTGAGACAGAATTGGGTATGCTTTACCCCTGGTGGGCATGATGGTCTTCACATAATCTCCATGTGCTTCAGCTTTTAATAACTAACGTTTATATTTTGAAATCATTTGACAAAAGACACTGCCAGTATATGGGAAGAGATCTCTAGTACAGATTTTTAACATGAGGAACATTTTGGCTCTTTGTGCCACAATTAGGAATCACTTTCATTACTATGCCAGCTGTGCAAAGGGGAGGAAGTTGATTCATGAGGTCATTTCTGTGCTGATCTGATAATTATTGCTTTAATATAAATGCCAACTATTGGTGCATTGTCAGTAAATGGCTTTAATTCTCTGTGCAGGATGATCGCTCTCTAATAAACCTGCATCTCATGCATACCAGTTACTTTCTTTTTGTGATGGTGATTACAATGTTCTGCTATGCAGTTATTAAAGGCAGACCAAGCAAACTGAGGCAAAGCAATACAGAATTCTGCTCTGAAAAGGTGAGTCTGTGTAGTAACAAAATATTGACTCTGATAAGAAAACACAGAAAACCTCCTTTTTTACATAGTACAGACTGTTTTTTCTTATCTCTGGAGATGTAGATTTAATTCCATTTCAGAGAGGTGTGGGTGTTTCATTGTGGACAGTACAGATGGCTGCTACAAAATACATACGTGTGCTTTGTAGATCCTCAGAGTTAGATTTCTCTCCTACAGAAGTGGATTATTGCAGTTCAGTAAGTGCTGTAATGCAACTCTTCTGCGTAATTCTGATGTTACTTGCAGCGTTTTGTATGAAGCATTGAATAGATAGCATTGAGTAGTTTTATTTATCTTTTATCACAACAGACTGAAAAGTTTGAATAAAACATGATACGTAATTCTAATGGTTGTTAATCAGAATTAAATTAAAACAATGACAAAGCTATTGAAACAGTTATTATTCAATACTGCATTGGAGACCTGCACTTTGCTTGAAGGATTAAATATCAATATATTGTGAAGTAGGAAGCTAATGTTGGCACCTTTTGATCTTAATGATATTTTGTAGTATAAGCTGGTTTGAGTTTTTTGGTTTTGGGTTTGTTTTTTGGGGGTGGGGTGGGGTGTTAAAATTGATTATGCTAAGTACAAAACACCTTCAGGACTTACTTTGATTTCCTTTCCAAGTTAGACTTTTCAAGGTTCTTTGAAAAAGCAAGGCCAGATATGCCAGCTGCATGGAGATAAGTAATATCACTGTTACGAGATTAAGAACTTGACTTTAATTAAATGTTTTCTTTTTCTTTTGTTTAGGTTGCTTTGTCAGAAGCATAATCCATCCTCTCCTTTTACTGAGAATGACTGAGAACCGTAATCATTGCCTGCTGAACCCAGAATGGGTCTTAACACTCTGTGAATACATTATCTTGCAATGTTGGTTTATTCCAACCAAAGACATTTCAAGTGCCTGTAATTGATTTGTACATATTTATAAAAGTATATTCAGAATAGGTCAGATGATGCACTTGTTCCGCATTGTAGTGCGGCCGGAAACTTTCAGTCTTTACCTGTGGACATAGCCGAATGTTTGTGTAGATATGTTTAGTGATATGGCTACATATAGTCAGAGCAAGATATTTTTGTCTAGCTGCATCTGGGCAGGTTAAGATGCCTTTGCAAGTGTCTCAAACAAACCAACAGATCTTTGTTTTTTGCCCAATGATATGTACAGTGTGTTTGAAACAGTATGCACCTTTGATATAATACTGCATTTCCAAAGCCACCGATCTAATACATGAATTAAATGTGTATTTGTGTGGCCTAATACTTTCTTCCATTTGCTCCTTGCTTGCAAGAAAAGATATCAACATTTTAGATTGTTTTTGAAAAAAGAAATACATATTCACATTTTAATAGTGCTGTATTTAGGACAAACTTGTGCTTTTATTCATAGTAAAAAAATTAAGAAGTGAAGTCCCATTTTAAAATGTTTCTTATTGAAAAGTGCTAAGTTTGATTTTTTTAATTTTTTTTTTTCCCTTACTTGGCTTGCTGAATGCCAGAGAATCAGTCAGCATAGAGAGTATCTGGAAAGCTTTCCACTTGGCCTCCCATCCGCAGCCCTCAAACCAGGATGGTGCATCTCTGCTGCAGAGCAGCTTTCTGTAAACTTTTTTTTTTCTAGAAGGTGAAACTTAATAAAAAGATGTATTGTATTAACAGTCTGTTGGGGCTCTGCACAGCCTTGGGCAAGTGCAGATAATGAAAGGAAAAGAAATCCCATAGTCTGTTACAGAGCTTCACTTTGGGATGCTCCATCCATCTCTGAAGGGCAGCTGAAAATGACACTTTTATTAGCTTTGTCCGATTTCCATTTAATGCTGTCCACTCAGGGGAAAATTACAAGGAGAGAACTAGGGCTGTTGTGATTAAGGTCAAAGAAACCACACAGTAAAACACACGCTGTTCTCTGTGTCCATTCTTAAATCAGAGGTTTTATTCTGTGCATTTCTCCCTTTCCCATCCTGGCTCTCGCTGTTTCTTTCTGGCTTCTTACTGAGTAGCCTCCTTAATTTTCAGGAGTCGGGGTTTTCCTGCAGACATTTCCACCACTGCTTTTAAAATCTCACTGGTTGCCTTAATTGACCTTTCATCTTGTCTTTCAGCTTTCTTGTCAGGTAGTATAACTGTAGGTCTGCATACATACGTACACATAAGCTTTTTTCCTCTCCTCCTTTCCCTCTAAACTACACAAGAGAGACCCAACTCAAAATCTCACAGTCTCAATTATGCTGGCATGAGATTCTTAGCTTTTTACCTATAGACACTATTGAATGGTACCCTACTGCTCTGCAGGCCTGTATGTATGGGACTTCAGTAGGTCACGAGTCTTCAGAGCGTTTGAAGCAAAATAGTCACACTTTTCTTCAGAACATGTTTCCTTTATAGAATTTCAGTTACTTAAGTGGTGTTGACTAACATGCGGTTTTCTCCGGGGATGTTAAGGCAAAGCTTTAGAGATGGCCTAGTTTGAAGTCTAGGGATAAAATGAAGCTTCCAGTTTTCTCCTGATGCTGCTATGGGCTAATACTGCTTCGCTGAAATGAATCGGTGAAGTCAAAACAGGTAGACGGCTTCTCATGAAAACTGTCCGAGCTGTTCCTAATTCACGCATACCCAGCCTTCTGCACTAATACTGACTTCTAGAGTTGCCTACGAGGGTGGCTTGAACTGGGGACCAAAGGCAGGAATAGGAAATGGATTGGGGTGGTGTTGCAAATTCTGGAAATACCTAGAAAACACCCAACGTTACGCAACTCCTTTGAAAAAGCAAAGCCGAGTCCTTTCTGTTTCAGCAAATTAAAAACCAAACTCCAGATGTTCTAACTGGAATTTGGTCTTTTGGGGAAAACAGAATTTTTTTTAATCTGATTTTGCTTTTTGGTAATTAGAGGAGCCTGCTCTGCAATTTATCACCCACTGTACTGAAGTACCCAGAAATACTAAGATTGCAACCCACAAACGCAAAAGAGAAGATGTTAGAGAGTCGTATTTTTTGGCCTTAGTTGATCCCTTTGCACCCCTGTATTGCAGCGGAGAGGTAAGGGTGTCCATCGGGTTGAAATGCTGTAATACCGAGGCGTATTGGATTGTTCCTAGGCGCAATGTACAAAAGTTAAATGCAGCCAAACAGAAGAGTAAAAACTTAATATTAAAGTTCAGATCATATTGATCTTTCCTTTTTTGTTTTCTTTTTCTTTTTAACTATGACTTGAATCAGTTTTGATTCTATTTGTACGTGTTTTCTTGTTCTTAGAAAGCTGCCATTTTCTTTTGCATTTTTCTTTGGCATTACATAGAAAATCTGAGCCTTGGTATTCAACCCTCTGCAGGTGATTGTAGGGTTAAGATGGCTTTTTTGTTTTGTTCTGTTCTTACATTTCACTTGTCTTGTTGCATGATGGTTAATAGCTGATTTGGAAATGACATTTCTCTCCTAGATTAATTTTGTGTTTGTAAGATGTGCATATTGCTTTGCAGAATAAAAACGATGAAGTTTATTCTGTTGTCTTTATTTCTACTGCCCAGTTGCTGTGGAGGTTTCATAAATCACCTATGTTATGTGGACCATCGGAGGAGATTAGTAGTGAAAGTCTGCAATAGATTGGAATTTCAAACCCTTTGTTGTACCTGCGGTGCAGCGAGCACCTTTCGTAGACTTTTTTTATTTATGTATCATGGGGTAGGGAATGTAGCTGGCGCCCACCATGAGAAATGCAGAATTTGTGACCTAGGCCCGTCTCTCCTGTTGCTGTTAATGAGCATTAATGCCCTGTGTTAGCACGGTCTCGACTTTGAGTGAGTCTGTCACTGTTTTAGTTAGCAAAGCAGTTGTCTTTGACCACCACTGAATCCTGTCCCTCAGCCAGCAAAGAGGAAGAGAAAGGCAGTCGGACACGTATTCACTTGTTTTCTGTTAAACTCTCTTTCATAACTCGAGCAGCCACTATTTGGCAAGTGCACAGCTTTGTTCAATGAGTTTTATAGAAGTGCAACTTCCCTGAAGAAAATCCTGTTTTCATAACTCTTGCTGCATAGACTTACACTTGAGTAAACATAGGAGGATCTATGGTGAGTTCCCCCTGGGGAAAAAGTACTTGGCAAATCAATATGCGATTGAATTAATTTTGTTCTAAAGTAAAGGTGAGCAACCTGCTGCCTGGAATATTTCCCCGAGCCTCTTACATAGGGAAAGTCTTGTTGTAATTTAGTGCCACAGCCTTTAGTCAGGTTCTTTCAAGGCCCCCCTCCTGGCTCGATAGTATGAGCAGCTTAAAACTAGGTGTTACAAGCAGGTAGTACAATGGGGGGGAAAAAAGGCTGTTTTGCTGATGTAACAGGTGCTGGGAGGTTGGAAGGGTGGGGTGAGCAGAAGGGACTCATTTGATAACACTATAATTGGGCTGTTTGCTCACAATGATGATGTTTGTTAACAAACTAAAATAAGGGCAATGAAAAATTATGTAAAGCTTGCTCATCTGGAAAAAATGCAGGCACTGTGTTTGCAATCAGATTACAGCTAACATTAGCAGGCTGCTACAGATTGGGATGAGAAGTACCATCTGCCGTCAGCGATGGCATTTCTTTAATCGGGTGCTTTGTGCCAAATATGTTGGTATTACGTGGAAGTATTGCTGAAAATGAGGAACAGCATCTGTCTTCTCACAGCAGCGCCTTCTTTCTGCAAGCAAATTTCTTCGGCCTGATGTTTGTTAACAAACTAAAATAAGGGCAATGAAAAATTATGTAAAGCTTGCTCATCTGGAAAAAATGCAGGCACTGTGTTTGCAATCAGATTACAGCTAACATTAGCAGGCTGCTACAGATTGGGATGAGAAGTACCATCTGCCGTCAGCGATGGCATTTCTTTAATCGGGTGCTTTGTGCCAAATATGTTGGTATTACGTGGAAGTATTGCTGAAAATGAGGAACAGCATCTGTCTTCTCACAGCAGCGCCTTCTTTCTGCAAGCAAATTTCTTCGGCCTTCTTTTTAAAATGGAGAGTTTCAAAGAAATGTTCTCGGAAGTTCGTATGAATGAGTATGCTGGCAGCTGCTGAAATTTGGATTGTAAATTCTCCTTTTCCCTCCAGCTCTAATCAAAATTTTGCTAGTGATGAATTGCCTGGCAGAGTGAGAAAATAAAGCTGTAGCTAAAGGTAGAAAACCGTGTATGTGTTAAACTCTTGCGACTTGTTTGTCTGCTGTTAACCAGCTAACTCGGTGACTTTCAGGCTTTCGATCTCTGAGCCCCACCGCTGTCCTCCTGGAAGATCCCCGAGAAGTTGCACACACAGAGGTTCCTTTGTGGCATCCATTGACCAGGTATCCTTTCTGTTAGCTTTTGCCAACTTTTCAGAGGTAGCCTGGGGACTGACCTTGAGGTGTCTGTTAACCCTGGGTTGAAAACAACTCGGCTGAATAAATAGCAATGCTGAGAAGCAAGGTGCAAGCTTGCTGGGTTTGGATCTTCTTCAGCGCTGATGCTAAGTGGTCTCCCAGGAGATCTGGCACTGGCTCTCGGGAGATCTGGGCTCCTTGCTGTGCCTCGCTGGGTGACTTGGGCAGCTTGCTTTGTGTCTGTAGGTCTCAGTTTCTCCTTTATAAAGGACTTTTACAGCTCTGCTAAGTGCTATGACCTTTACTGATAGAAGTAACTTATCCTCAGCTAGAAAATGTATCCGATTGACTGTGCTGCTACAGGGAGGGGGAGGCTATGTCCTAACCTGCAAGGCTTCCTAGCAGAACCAATATTCCCTGTTTACCTTTTGAAGGTGTTTCTTTAAAGGATGTTGAAGAAACAGTTGGGACCCAAGCATGGATTTCCTTGTGCTGTCTCTTAGCTCCTTGCAACATGATTCTTGCACCTTGATGAAATAAATAACAACATAAGATTTAATCTGTAGCTACAAAAAAAGAATAGGGCAATCCATAGACCAGCTTTTTCATAGACCTTATTAATGTTTGTGAATAAAACATTTCACGATACGCTACATTATCATTTATCCTTTGAAAAGATCCCTTCTGGTAATGACCTCTATCTTCTAGCAAAAGGGGGCTTTACAGCAAGGAGGATGGCAATATCCTCTCTGGGGTCTTGGTATAAATCACGCCATTGCAGTTGTTTTGCCTGTGGGGAAAGGGTGAGAGCCCAGGAGCAGCTCAGGTAAGGCGAGTGACTGAAAAATGTGGGTAAACTCATTATGTTCTCGTACCCATTTCACCCCAGAGCCCTGTATGAACAAAATTGTCATCTTCTAGCAGGCACAAACGGGTAAGAAATGTGATTCTGTGGCCCGTAGATGGGGCCGTGGCTGTGCGCATCTCCTCCCAGCAGCACTCGCGCCCAGGCTCAACACCCCAGGCAGGATTTTCACCCTGGAGTTGTTAATTGTGTTTCCCCTGGACTCTTACCCTCTCCTTCCTTTGGCAGCAGTGTTTGCTGAGCAGCTGGGGCCGGGTTGCTGCCTGCTCTGTTGTGGAGGGTCCCGGGTGGGTGGATTCACCATTTTGCAGAGTACCGAGGACGAGCCATCTCATGCATGCCACCGAGAGAGAGAGCCCGTCGGGTTTTGCTCTGGCATTTAGCTAGAGCCAGGTAGGCTGGGAGCCCTGGCCCAGCACAGCTGGAGAAGGCTGTGAGGTGGAGCCTGGCCCTTACCCACAGGAGATGTTGATCCCCCCTGATTGCTCCTCAGCTGGGCACTGGGAGGCTGCGATTGAGCTGGGGCAGTTACCACCCCGCACTCCCTGCTGCTTCCCGGCCGGTGGGGTGACTTGTCTCCCCAGGGGACCCCGGAGAGGTATTTCAGGCAGTAAATTGATGGTTCGGGTGCGATGGCTCAGTGTGATACAAGTAACTGCTTGGAAATGAACAGGCAGCACTGGAGCTACTGGATTCCTCCGGCCCGGGTGAGTGCCTGCCCGCGGGGAAGGTTGCGGTGGGGGGGGCTGCAGGGGTGTCTCCAGTGGTGCTTTTGCTGTTGTGGGGCAAAACTGGGCTTCAGAGTGATCTCAAAGGGTTATAGGAGACCCCGGTCAGTGGGCGAAGGGCTCGCTAACAGGGCTCAGAGCAATAGGGGTGGCTGAACGTGCCACTAACCTTTGAGACTCACCCTCCTGAAAACCTGGTTGTGTTCACTGCAGCTCAGGGAGGGAGCAAACAGCTTGAAAATGAAAATTTCCAAGGAAATCCTCAGTGAGATCAGAGCTAGTGCAGGCGACCTGAGAGAGCCTAGAAACAAGGAGAGACCAAGAGCTGATCTGGGTCAGGAAAAGAAGTCTGAAACTCCTGCAAGCAAATAATTTGAAGCACTGAGCGGAACTGAAAATTGCTAGCTGGGGAAGGGGGGCTGCACCCCAACGGGGGCTTTGCAGGGTGAGCTGGAGGCCGAGAGCACGGCTGCAGCTCCGCCAGGCTGGTGGCTCCCAGGCAGAGTTGGGGAGATGGTGCTTTCGGGTGGCTCGGCTCTCCCCGCGGAGCACCACTAGATGGTGGCAAGAGCTCAGCCTTAAACCTGCTTTGCTGGGCCGGGAACGGGTCTGCTCCCTTCTGCGGAGCAGCCTTACCCCAAAGCTGGGCAGAGCAGGCACCTCTGCGGGTGTGGGAGTGGGTGTTTGTCCTGCGAGGGCGTGGGGTGTCGGACACACGAACCCCTTTCTGCCTCTGATCTGGCAAAGCTACACAAGAAAGCAGCAGCAGAGAGAGGGTGTAAGGTGCCCTGAGCCCTGTTCAGGGCACGCGGGCTGGTAGGGGCTGTGTGTCTGTCTGTCTGTGCTGCCACCCTACCCGCTCGGAGCAGAGTCAGCCAGAGCCCTTCGGGGACTCGGGCCAGCAGCCGGTGCTCCTGGCTCTGCCCGGTGCTCCAAGAGCCCTTTCCTTGGTGAAACGCTCCATGGCGGGGACCCCGCAGCCCTCCTGGGGTGTCTGCAACCCCAAAGGGAGGTGGGAGCATCCCTTGTTGGGGCAGCTGGGGAGTCGGGGTCTGCATCTGTCGGGTGTCGTGGCTGCATCTCCTGAACGAGCGTAAGGAGCAGTAGTGCAAAGGTAGGCTGCTTCCCTTCCTTCCCCTGATAAATGTATCCTTGACAGATGCTGTGGGCCCCCTAAAATAGAGGGGGTTCCATTTAGGAAGGGATGGAAAATTGTTTGAACAGCAGCAGTTTTCCAGCCCTTTTCCCTGGTGTTCCCAAGTGGACTCTTAGTTCATGGGCTCCCCTGGACTTGGTCAGCGCCCAGTTTTGTGCAGTGAGCTCAGCTGTAGGAGCGAAGATGGGGATTTTTCAGCAAGGTTGGCTTTATCTATAGCTTCCAGCCGAGGCTGTGCCCCTTGGCATCTCCTTTTGCACCAGACCCAGCCAAGGTGCTGCTGGGGAAAGGGAGAGCTGTGAAGATCTCCCCGTGGGAGAGGTGATCCCAGCCAGCGCGCAGAGACCTGCTGGGCTTCCTGGCGCTGGGTTTAGGGGGGCTCTGGGTGCCAGCCAGGAGCGTGCCCG